GATGCAAATGAAAACAATTGCCCACCACCGATTGACCGATGCCCAGCCAGTCCCCAAGCAGTGGCCCCCATGCCCCCCAACCTCCCACCCCGTTTTATTGCTGAGCATGACGCCATACGGTATGGGATATCCCTTGGGTCAGTGGGGTCAGCTGTCCCGGCTCTGTCCCCTCCCAACTCCTTGTGCTCCCCCAGCCTCCTCGCTGGTGGGGTGGGGTGAGAGGCAGAAAAGGCCTTGGCTCTGGGTAAGCCCTGCTCAGCAACAGCTAAAGCATCCCTGTGGTATCAACACCGTTTTCAGCCCAAATCCAAACGTAGCCCCATACCAGCTGCCGTGGAGAAATGTAACTCTACCCCAGCCAAAACCAGCACAGAAGTGAAGAAAGAGGTGATGCAATTGGCCTCTGACGCTCTCCCAGTGGGCAGAAAGGTATTGCACAATTCCGTAGCATATTTTTCTCACTAAGTACGCTTATTTCAGACTTCCTTTAAAGTTACACAATTTACATTATTACTACCTTATTCTCTAAACTCCTGTTTTAATAAATACCAGAAACAAGGCTCTTCCTTCCCCCCGCAAGTATCCTCATCTCCAGTGTCACCCTGACTGCTCTTACCACCGATCGCTAAAGGCACTTCCCGGTAGTTTTGGCCATTTGCAGGTTTTGGGTGGTCACTGAAGCCATCTGCCAGCATATCCAGGAGCAAAAATAATGTCTGTGGCAGTGTTAGACTGAGACTAAGCAGCAGTGTAACTTAGCTTTTCTAACATTAGACAAATTGCAAGCCAAAGCTAACTGTCCGGGGCATGTAGTTGGGAATTGAGGTGTCTAAAATCACTGCGTGTGCTGAGTTCAGTGATAGCAAAGCAACAAGGCACCTTCCTTGACCTGCATTTGAAATCATGCGTGGATTTTAGAAGGTGGCCAAGAGCTGTTGACGTGCTGAGTGCACGTTAGTGCTGCCTCAAACATCACGGCAGGGTATGATTGCCAAAAACCCCAGACTGGTAGCCCAAATTTGTTTAAGCTTCTTTCCTTCCTCCCTGCCTTGTCTCGGCAGCCCCTAATGACGGGGAAATGCTGAGCAATTCCAGTACCTCTTTGCTATCGCGGCAGGGCCGTCTGCCAGGGGGGTTTCTTGGCTTCCAGATCGTATTGGTTTGAATTGTAAAAATGCTGGACCGTAACAAAAAGGTAGTGGGGAATCTGCACAGCTAGCTGGAGAATCCTTGGGACTTCACAGAAGGACCTGAATAAAGATGAAAGTGCCTTTTTTGGTGTCTTTAAGCCTTTTCCTCATCTCCTTATAGCTCAATAGCTGGCAAGTTTGATGGGGTTTGGGACAGAGGAGCTCTAGTAGCTGTGAATCCATGCGACAGAGAACGGTTAGTAGATTTGCCTTGTTATTGTCTTTTCTCTAATGTATGCAGTGACATGTTTTTCCTCCTGCCACCTGTTGCTGCGTCCTCTTCCATTTAAAGGACGAACCTACACAAGTTCTTCTCTACCGCAAGCATCAGCTGCAGTCGCAGAGTGCTGCACTCGAGATTTGTGAGCTTCCTTCAGGAAGCCGCCCTGCCTCTTGGTGGGAAAATATGTGGTTTGTTCCAACCCAGCAGAAGCAGAGCTGCAAGTCTCATTTGAATGTTATTATTTCCTTTTCACCTCATTTGCTTCTCCTCTCTTCGTTCTTTTTCCCCCTCACTTCCCTTTATTCCAGTTTTTTCTTCTTGCCTATAGCCAACCCAAATGTAGTTTGACCCTACCCCTGGGATTTTTTAATTAGATACATAATCTTGAATTCACAACAATTTTAAAAGATGAATATGGTATTGTGTACTGTATTCTGGACTGTGGCAGATGAATGCTATGTTTTGTTTGTTAGTTTTGAGATGAATATGCAAAAAAAGATAAGTGCTTGTTTATGAGGAGTAAACAGTAACCTTTATTTGAGGTGTTTCATGTGTAGCATGAATTTCATGCTCATGAAATTCAAACTAAGCTTTGCTTACTTTCTGTGCAGTTCAGTTCAAATTGTCTCTGGATAGAAATACCTGTTACCTCTTTTGTTGAATATTTTGAATGCTATGCTTAAATGTCCGTATAGTTCCAAAATAATAAAGTATAGTTTTCTGCTTCTAGCTATGTCCATTTGATGATCACCCTAATGGAGAAAAATTGTTCTTACCTCCTCGTTACGGTTTTGTATGATCCAAACAAACACAAAGGTGAGAACTTTGCACTTTTCATGTTTTGATTTTGCATGCTTTAATACAAACTGTATATAGATGTGGTAGATACATCAGTATCTTCCCCAGTTTTTTTCTCAGCATAGCTTTGTCAGCTGCTCACACCACTACAACTGCCTGTTAAGTTTAGATGTTGACCAAGCTTGAGACTAAATTTGCTTTCTCTGTAGCGTTCAGCCATGCTAAGGGTGAGTGGAGAACAGACATGGTGTATTAACAATGAAATGAAACTGGAAGCGTGGCTCTGACAACGAAGCTGGAAGATTGCATGCTGAGAGTAACGTGCTGTCTGGCCCAGGGTGCTGGAAGCGCTCCCAAGAACATTGGCTTCGCTCTCTTCACCCAATACTTGCCACCCATCTTGTGCCTCTCTCCCAGGCACTGCCATGGGCTGAATATGCTTGGAAGAGGTGAAATGCTGTAAAATCAGAAAGTATTTTTTCCTTTTATAACTTTTTTTACATACTCAAGTCTGAGCTATTTTAAAATAATTTTTTTGTTGTTAGTTATTAAGTCTCAAAAGAAAGAGATTTCTTGCTGCTTTTGGGCTCTTCAGCAGAATTATCTCTGAAAAAATAGGTCTTGTTATCGTAAGCAACAATAGTGTAATCCATTGCTCTCCCTCTCACATCATTCAGTTTTTAGCTTTAATTATGCCGAGATTGTAGGCGGGATTCACACAGCGCACGGAGAGTGGTTGTATTGTCCTGGTGACAGCATCCATAGCATGGTCGTGACTTCTGACAACGCGGCTGCAGCCCGGAGACGCTGCAGCACCAACACCTGAAGCTGTCTGGTGGCCCGCCAAGGTGCCACAAGTTCTTGGACGTGCTGTTTTCTGGTTCCTGCAGACGATGCTACGCACTGGGACCCGATTGTGGGTCGGGTGCTGGGAGCGATGGGTCTGGCTGTCCTGCTGCAGCGTACGGGTTTGTCTCCTTCCCGTGTCTTCTCTCTGATTAGCTTCACCCATTTTCTTTCAGGCCCACCGTTTTATGTTCCTGAATCTGAAATTAAAAGCTTGTTTGGTAAGTAATACTTCAGCTAACCCTTAGGAATTTTTTCCAAAACACGTAAACGTGTTTATGTGCTTCTACCTCGCCCTGCGACAAGTGATAAAGAGTCATTTGCTTCTTATCTAACGGCTGGAGTCATGGAAAAATGATGGAGAAAATAAATACCATTTAGCCACATGGATTTTGCTGTCAAGGAAAATTCTCAGCTCTGCAGAAGATACGGAGAAAACCCCGGAGACAGATGCTGTCTCTTTCCTCCCCTTGGCACCTTTTCGTTCTCCCAGGTTTCACACTGCACTGGGTGATCTTGTAGCTGCGGTCTTGGTCCCATTTGACCATTTTGGCTTTCTCGGCACCTCATCACCAGCCACTCTGCTTTTAATACAAGCCCCTTGCATCCCAGTTCTACAGTTTCTGCTGTATGTTTGTAGCCAAAGAAGAAAAGTAACATGCCATGCGAAGAAAATGCTAAATGTACAACTCAAATCCATCAAAATAATGAAACTCAGAATTATGGCAGGAATTTAATTTTAAAAGTTCCTCCTGATATGCTTTGATATTGCACTTCTTTTAAATTTACGACTTTCCGAGAGCCCTGCAGTATCTGTGTGCAGTGAGTCGTTGGCAGGGACAGTTGCATCCCAGTGCAAAAGAGATGGCTAAGTTTTCCCTAGTGCGTTTGTGTCACTGTGTTGGGGACTGTGAGGAAATCTGTGGATAAGATTTTTTTTTTTTCTTTTTTTTGTTTTCCTGACAGTTTGCATTTTTCAGTGACTAATCATTCGGTAATTTGTTAACTCTCTCCTCTTTTTCAGGCAACCACTGTGAAATTAAGTGTCTTGAAAAAGCTGATGACTTCTCAGACAGACACAGACAATGGGGACTAGATTATTTTCTGGAAGTGCTATATATACTAAAGTTTGTAGCTTGATTAAAGTTAACTAAAATAACTTACCTCCCATCTTGCTTTTATTTTTATCTCACCTTTTAAAAGGAGACATGTTTTGGGGCATTCTTAAAGCAGGCTTCAGCGTACAGAAGAATGCCTGTGGAACATTTTTGTCCATTTTGCTTACCAAGTCAGCTCTCCTACATAACTGCCTTCCCTGTCCCGAGATGGGCGTAGCTTTTCTTAAACTCCATGCACAAACACGCATTTTTAAAGTATATCTTTTTCTTCCATCTCAATTCAAATCATCAGAGCTGGGAAAAAGAAATGTTCCTGTTCCTTTTTGGAACCATTGCCAGTCGATGCCGCCTGCCCAGCGCTCCGCAGGTCGGCCTCGTCGGCTGGCAGCCCCGGGAGCAACGGCAGCTGCTGTTCAAATACCGTTTCCTGCGACCCCGGCCTTGCACCGAACCGGGCAGCTGGGCGAGAGAGGCGGGAAGCTGGCACAAGTCGCTTCTCTCCGTCCCCGTTAGTCGTGACTACAAGTCGAGTGACGAGCTGGCCGTGAGCGGGCAAGAACACTTGGCAGCAGTTCTGCCAAGGGGGAACTACTGCCGAGCAGGAAAGAGAGGAGGAAAGCGAACTGGATGACAAAAAGGGAGAGAATATGGGCAGAAAATGTCCCTGCGGTTGCTTGCGAGTGTGCTGCTCCCTCCCTCCCTCAAGAGCGCAGCTATGAGCGGGCAAACCGGTGAGCGCGTTCAAAGAGAGCCGAACGCAAACCTTCCTTTGCTGGTCTTGTATCGCTCCCGAATGGATGCTACTGCAATTTTTTAAAATTACAAAATCTAGGGTTCTCAAAACCCTTTCTCGCTCTGGCCTTCTCCCCTTGGCAGCTTATTTTAAAACGTACTGGAAAGGTATGATCGCAATGTAGCGTGTTATAATTCACCAAGACCAGAAGGTGAGTGAAAGCCATGGGACTTTTTTGAGTGTTACAGTCCTAGAGATGCAAGTAGGTCTGATGACGTTAGAGCTCAGCGGTCCCCAAGCTGCCCCCATTGCAACTCTCGGTGTTGGTTGTAGCTCCTGTCGCTTCGAGGCCGAGTTGACGGAGAGAAGAGAGGATGCAGCCGGCGGGCCAACGCAAACTGGGAGCTGCTGTTTTCCTATGTTTTCACTGCCGGCCAGTACTGTGGCTACCAAGTTAAAGCATCTCCTTCCTCTTGACCCAGAATTTTTTTTTCCAGATGCAGCGTTTGAGCCACCGAAGTTTCTCCGGGGCTTGCAGACGCGTGATGGCCGCGGAAGGGTTCCCAGGGGTGCCACAACC